AAAAAAAAAAAAAAAAAAAAAAATTAACTAATTTTTGTAAAATAAACAGCAAAATGAAACAATGGTCTTAGAGACAGCATTTTCAGGTTAATAGAGTGAGTACCTTTGATATTAAAATTTTCCTTCTATTGTTTATGTATCTTAAATTATCTTACATTATAAGAAATGCTAAGTAAATATAATTGTTCAAAATTGAGTCAAACGTAATGTAATTTCAGAAGGGGAATACAAGCAATATTTTCAAATTATTCAAGTGTTTGTAATGAAAATTCAAAAATGGTATGAAGTACTCATGAGTATTTGTAGAAAAAAAGTGTTCATATTTGTACTGAGTTCTTTTATAAGATTAATCAGTACTTTTTACATGAAAATCACATCCATCACAGGAAATTCATACTTGTACATAATATCTTTGTTCTTTCCCCCCACCCACGTTCTTTCCTGCTCCCTTCAATCTTCTTCTCCTCCTTATTTATGGAATGTGTTTCTGTATTTTCCATTCTATTCTTTTTATTTTCCTTCTTTCTCTTCCATTGTTTCATTTTCCATTTTGACCAAAGTTGATTTTTTTGTATACACTTAATATAAATACTAGTATGTTTGATGCATTGTGAATCTATACGGATATGATTAACCATACAGTACTAAAATTTATAGTGCCCAGAGTATGCACATTTTGGGAATGTTATATAAAATAGCCACCAGAAGTTTGCCTTAGTTTATGAATATTTAAAATATTTTTTAATCAGTGGGAGGGGATGGCTTTCCCTGCTACATTTAACACTGGTCTTCCTCTTCCTCCTAGTGGAGATTCTCTGGGAGACTTGCACATCCAGGAGAAAATCTTTTCAAGGTCATGAATGACTGATAATGCAGTAGCATATTGTGTAGGAGGAATGATAATAGTTATCCACTTAGAACAGTAACATGTGTATCTCCTAGATTTTAGGGATAAATAAAATCATATTATATTCTGATAGCAAATTGAATGGAAACATAATGCAAGTGAAATTTGAGCTTATGGAGATAAATCTTTTTATGTCAATTGATCTTTCTTAAATCATAAACTCAATTTATTGACCTATAAACCTAATAAAATTAAGAGCTCAGAGTACTACTTTACTGCTTTAGTTTTATAACCACTGCTATTTACTAAGGTAAAAATATAGAATATTTCACAAATTTGCAAGTCTTCCTTATTTAGGGACCATGGGAATCTTCACTGGATTATCTCAAAGTTAGTATATGTGGTGCTGAATGGCGCACTCTTCAAAACAGTGTTTTAAAAAGAGTACTATCGAGTGAAATAAGTGTAATATAGTTATAAGAGTAACACTCATTAACTGTTTAATTTCTCTTCCACTGATACCTGTGTCTCATCTGTTTTATTTTTCCCTTTCATTCAAACCTTAGTTAGATCTGAGAAACTTTGTAAAAGACCTCGTACCATGACTCTACTCCAGAAACAGGGCTGCTAAGTGTCTATTCAGAGCGAGGAGAACATCAGGGAAGGAAAATGGACACATATTTCATGAATGGTGAGAAATGGATCAAAGAAGCCATGACAAATTTCTTTCCACTGACCTATGACTTTGTTCAGCACTCAGAATGGAATCTATCTTCTTTCTCCTGTTTTTTACATCTCTGAATTCATCTTGGACTATATTTCTGCTCCCAACAGTCTGGTACATTTTTTTCCATTCATCTTTATCCCCATACTTGGAACCCATTCATTCATCCTTCTCACAAGATGAATAGCTTTTCTCATTTCTAAAAGTTGTATCCTAATGAAAGTCTTAAATTTCTATCTCATTATGTTTATGCATTTGTATTCAATATATACATTCTTCAAAGCATTAATGTCATAGTTTTTTAATCGAGGCATGATTGGAGATTGTAGAACAAGCAAATTTACTTTGAAAATGCTCTCCTAAGCACTGAAAATGTCTTGCCGCATCTTCGTCTTGCACTTACCAATATATCAGAAGATCTCACTGCTTTCTGGCAACAAAGTGGATCCAGATTTAATGCATAACTTCCCTGGTTCATAGTCACTGATTTAGACCTATTTGTCTACTGTAGTTATTTGCTTGAAAGCTAAGCATTCTCTTTAAAGTATCCCCTGTTTGAAAGTAGATATCACTTTCTGACACATCTATTTTTGTCAAACAGGTAAGTTTCCAGAACCAGCTGGTACAAATTTTCTCTAGATATTGCATTAACATAAAATGATATTGTCCTTAAATGGCATTGGATATCACAAGCTCACCACTAAAGTTTTCCCGAGGCAATGCCATGACCCAGGGTAGCTGTCTCCTGCAGGGTCTTACCTGGCAGGGGCTTGCATCCGATCCTTTGCTGATGTGAAGATACAAAGCTTTGCTGATGTCTGTGGCTCTCTCATGTCATGTATGAGAGGTCATCTCAATTTCTGAATGTCTGGTAAAATTGGCCCACACATGTCATAGTACAGCAGGGTTCACTTCTTCATGCACAAATCAGTGATCTTTAACTCTTAGAGCTATTTTTTCTCAGAGCCCTTATTGAACCTCCCTAACAGATCTGTGGGGATTCCAGCCTTTACAGAAGAAATGTTAGAAGAGTAAGTTTCCCTTTTGTGTCCCAAAAATAAATAGTAGAAAACACTCCACCAATTCTGGTATCTATAGGGAGATTAAAATCCCTTCTTTTTTATTTTATTTTATTTTATTTTATTTTATTTTTTTTTTTTATTTTATTTTATTTTATTTTATTTTATTTTATTTTATTTTTTATCTTTTCAAAGAGAATACAAGGGCTAGCCAAATAGCTCAGTAGATTAAAGAGCCTGTGGGCAGACGCAGGGGCCTGGGGTTCAATCCCTGGGCCTGCCGTGCCAGACCTGCTCCAGGGGTGCCCTGAGCTGGCAGTTAGACTGGGTGTGGTGGCACACACCTATAATCTCAGCTGTTGGGAGACTGTAAACAAGCGGATCACTATAAGTTTCATCTAGTAGTGAGAACCTGAACACCCTGAAGAACCTTCCCTAAAATACAGAAATAAATAAATAAATGGAATACAAAATTTTTTTTAAACAATAGAAATCATACAGAATTTCACTAAACAAAATAGTAGGAACTTGGCAATGGTTGTTATATTTCACAATGTTGCCTTCAGATTAGTAAGGGTCTTTCTTAAAAACGTTATTAAACTCAATGTAAGACATTGCAGCTTTAAATTTCTGAATGATAATTTCAGTGTTTGCAAGACAATTTTCTTCAGATGAAGAGCAGTCAAAATTATTCTTAATTGCTTAAGAACAATAACATTTAATACATTAGCATGATTTTTATTTTCATTCCACCAGTTGAATAAGTACATTTTAATCAAAACATCTCAAGTATGGCAAAAAAATACATTAGGATGCATTACAATATAGGAAGTAACGCATTAGGATTGTTAAGGTCTGGGGAGATAGCTCCTCAGTGTAAGCGCCTTCCTGGCAAGCACAAGGGCCTGGGTTTGATCCCTGGTGCTGCATGCCGTGCAGGCCCCAGAACACTGGGTGTACTGGCCACAGTGGTGGTATACGCCTGTAATCTCAGTGCTGGGGAGGCTGAGAGAGGAAGATTGCTATGAGTACAAGCTGCATAGTGAGACCTTATACCAAATATGAAATAAATATCTTAAAAGTCTTAAAAATAGATTCATATAGAGATAAACTAAATCTTCTAAATATTACTAATATATCTATTACCCAATCATGTGTGTGTGTGTGTGTGTGTGTGTGTGTGTGTGTGTTTGGACTTTAGTCTCATGTCATCTATAATATGAAATTATATTTGTATTATCTACATTTTTTAGAGTCAATTTTCTGGTAGTTTTGGTATTTATACATATATATTGCTTACTTAAATTTTAAAAAACATGGGATTGGCAAGATAACTCAGTGGTCTAAAGCACCTGCTTAGGCAAGCTTAGGCAAAGTTCAGGGACATCAGTTGGATCCCCCAGCACTAATGCCAGCCAGCCCCACCCCCAGACTAGGCTGAACTGGCCACAAAATAAATAAATAAATTTTAAAAAACAAAGTTTTCAATGAAAAATCCCATACTATCCTACTAATGCTGAGTCATAAAACTAACATGAAAATATCGAACAAATGCAAAACAAGATCAAAATGTGAGGAGTGTTTTAAAACTGATTTCTAACACATAAAAATATTGTGCATATTAATGCGATGTCATGTGATGTTTACATATGTGTAGTGTGTGATGTTTAAATCAAGGAAACATATCTTTTTTTTTTTTTTTTTTTGATTTGGCCAGCTCAGCCCTCCATGGGGCAGGTCTGGCATGGCGGGTGGTGCTGGGGATCACACCGTGGACTCTGTGCTTGCCTAAGCTTGCCTAAGCAGGCACTTTAGACCTCTGATCTATCTCATTGGCCCAAGGAAACATATCTATATCACCCAATATTTATTATTTTTCATGGTAAGAATGAAAACTCTTCTGACTATAGCAATGCTGTGTATTTTTCCTTCATAGTTTTATTCACCTGCAATAATGCAAAAGGATTTCCTGCTCTTCCCTAAATCTAATCCTCGATAAACCTTTGCAGACCTTCCCTTGGCCGCCTGCTCTCTGTAACCTCTGTTATTCTGCCTGCAACATCTGTCAACATTTTATAGACTGTACATTGATTGGTAGCAGGCAGTGCTTGTCATTCTGATCGAGATTTATTTCACTTCATGTATCTGCTCAATTGCACCTACAGTGCTTCAAATGGCAAAATTTCCTTCTCTGTATGTGTGAATACTAGTCCGTGGTACTTGAGCTTGTCATTTTCTCTGTCAGTTCTCCACTGATGGACATGTAGGTTGCTTATATCTTTTGCTATTGTGAGTACTGCTGTAATGGATGGGGACTGCAGATGTGGCTTAGATATTCTGATTTTATTTCCTTCGGATAGATGCCCCATAGTAGAATCGATGCGTCATAGAGTAGTTTCATTTTTAAAAGTCTGAGAAACCTCCATACTGTTTTCCAGAATGGTTGTACTAATTCACACACTCATCTACAGTGTACAAAGGTCCCCTTTTCTCCACAAGTTCACCAGCACTTGTTATCTTTTTTTTTTTTTTTTTTTTTCGGAACCAGGGATTGAACTCAGACCCTTGTGCTTGCCATGGAAGTGCTTATTCCACTGAGCCATCTCTCCAGCCACTTGTTATCTTTAATCACTTAAAAATGTATATATTTATGCAAGAATGGACACACACACACACACACACACACAAATATATACCAAAGAAACCATACTTACTGATAGGTGTGATCATCATTCATTATTCCTCCCATCAATGGACAAAACTCCCTAATGGCATGAAATTCTTTGTTCTCTCTGAGCACGTACAGACGTCTTCAATAGTCTTTTTCTCCCCTCCAGCCAAATTTCTTTCTCTCTCACATATATTCTATTTCATTTGCTTTCTCATTCATTATCCTTTTTTTCTCCTTTCCTCTGACTTAAACACCTTAATCCCTCACTTAACCTCTTTAAATGTTTTCTTTGAACATATTCTTTCTTGTTAATACCCTCTTTTTTTTCAAAATTCTCTCCTACATTCTAGGACTCCTCTCTCTCTCCTTTCCTCTCTTCCTCCCTCTCTTGCTCCCCTCTTTCTGTCATCTCTGTCTCTCTGTCTCTGTCTCTGTCTGTCTCGCTCTCTCTTTGTCTCTCTCTCTCTATCTCTGTCTCTCTGTCTCTTTCTCTGTCTCTGTCTGTCTCTCTCTCTCTTTGTCTCTCTCTCTATCTCTGTCTCTCTGTCTCTGTCTCTGTCTCTGTCTCTGTCTGTCTCTCTCTCTCTATCTCTGTCTCTCTGTCTCTGTCTCTTTCTCCTGTAGTTCAGTATTTCTGATATTCTAGCTCTTCCCTTTCCCATTCTTTCATTCTTAGATCTGTAGACTTCCTTTGCTTATGCTACAGGCCCTGTGACAACCTCACTTCCCAGTCTCGGGGTTTTTCTGCCTTCTCCTCCCTCACAGGCTTCTCCTCTACCTTCTCTTGCTCTCTTTGCCCCTCCCCCAACACTTGCAGTTCACAGCAATAAAACCCCACACACATCAGAATGGAAAGATAGGTCAGCCTTCTCTCTTGAGTGTGAAGTGTATTATGGTCTTCTAGAAAACTGGTGAAAACATAGGAAACACTTTGAGGAAAAGAAAGGTTTATCTTAATGCTTAAACACTATAACTTAGTATTTGTTTGTTGCCTTTTTGTTTGCT